ATGTTGGGATAAAAAGCAACAATATTAAGATGAAATAAAACTAGTAATAAATTAATAATAAAATGTTGTGATAAAAAGCAACAATAATAAGATGGATTAAAACTAGTAATAAAATTATAATAGAATGTTGGGATAAAAAAGCAAGAATAATAAGATGGATTAAAACTAGTAATAAAATAATAATTGAATGTTGAGATAAAATCAACAATAATCAGATGGAATAAAACTAGTAATAAAATAATAATTGAATGTTGGGATAAAAAGCAACAATAATAAAATGGTATAAAACTAATAAAATAAAATAAATAATAAAAAGTTAATAAGATGGAATAAAAAAAGTAATAAAATAATAATTGAATGTTGAGATAAAATCTAATAAGATAATAAAATAGTAATAAAATAATAAGAGAATGTTGGGATAAAAAGTAACAATAATAAGATGGAATAAATCTAGTAATAAAATGAAAATAGAACGTTCTCATAAAAAGCAACTTTAATAAAATGGAATAAAACTAGTAATAAAATAATAATTGAATGTAGGGATAAAAAGCAACAATAATAAAATGAAATAAAACTAGTAATAAAATAATAGAATGTTTAGATAAAATCGACATTTTTTTCAGAGTTTTTTCCCCTTAAAAATCGACGGTAACTTATAGAGGTTTGTTATGGGTATATTAAAGAAACATTTAGCGAAGTCGGTGTCAAGTTAGCTTGATTTCATTTTTATGTTAATATATTTGTTCGTTTTTAACAAAATAAATCCTAAGTAATCTTATATAACAATTTTAAAAGTAACTCGACCAAAAACATGGCTGTCATTATGTAAGCGTTAAAATATCCAAGGCATTGATAAATGTGTTAATAAATTTTATTTTATTTACCAAAAAAAATACGCTTACATATTAATTTGTTACGTTAACTCTAACCAAAGTAGAATTAAAATAAATTTTTACATAGCAAATATTTTCAATGAAGTAATCTTAGGGAGCATTATTTACTGGAGAAAGCATTCTACTATGAAAGACAGACGATATGGAAGCAATTAGACAGTCACGTTTTTACAAATGGCGCCCACGTTCTTCTTCAATTATGAATCTACCAAACATTGTCAGTTATCAAATGAATACAACGTGAAGGGAAAAGAATTGAATGTCAAATGAAAGTACATGACCTTTCTAAGCAAGATTAATCAATGACCTTTCGTCGGACATATCACACCGTTATAGAAGCAAGGCGGAATTAATGGAGGAAGATTCGCTTCGATTCTGATCTGCCATCAACCTAAACGAAGACCAATTTGATACGCCGCATCAAGTAACTGACACAAGCCATCTGCTTACTTTTACTATGGCAATATTCAACGAATAAATTTCAAACCCCTACTTAAGTTACCCCAAATATATATTTCTCTTTGACAGTTTGAGTCAGCGAAGTTGACCTATACAACAACGAGATCAATAATAACTTACAGGTTTGACCTTGGCTTCACCGTCGCTGTACAAGTAAGCGACTGTTTGTGTTTTCAGAGAGAAACACCGGCAAAAGGCTTCATAATTTCAGCTGTAACTTTTGAGGTAAAAGGTTTAACAGCAGCGTCGTTCGAAAATCAAATCAAAACGCTGAAGTAATTCATCTCAACGAACTGTCAAGTCAAATTTATGTTTGGAGATATTGCCAAATATTCATCGCAAGTTCCAGAATGACACGTTTGCAAATATAAATCTTTATTATGTCGGGCTTTCCAGTGTAGATTACGAAAGCAATGCCTACTGCAATTAAATCAACGCGATTAGAATTCAAATGCATTTATTGCGATTAGCTAAGTGACAATGAAGGTTTCCTTACAAGCGTGGGTAGTGTAGTGGTTAGCGATTCAGGCCAAGAAAAATTAACGAGCTGAGTTCGAATTCCAGCCCAGTTTTTTAGATTTATTTTTGCACAAATACCCATGGGAAAGAGTAAAAAATCCGTCTTTTTCTCTCGATCCCCATCTATGGGTTAAATAGTAGGACCGACTGGGCTCACTAGCCATGACTGGCAACTAGTCTAGGGAAAAGAATAACTCTGAATGTATACGTTATGTTCTTAACCAGGACGGAAGATTATGAAATATTCTGTCCGAACATGTTTTTCACACTATTTACATCCGTGCTATTGTTTTCAACTTTGTTGCTGTCATCACAACGTTTCGGCCTTCGTCAGGGGTATATCGATCCGGGTAACCTACAGGGAATCCCGAAGTGAATTCTTTATTTGATCTACGCGGGTAGGTCAAATATATTAAATGGAGAGTTCAATATCTCTCTATATTTGTGAGATAAGGTATTGTAACCATTTGCTCTATTTATATTGTTTCGGACAGTTATCCTCATCTTTATTGTCATAATCTACCCCGGTGGACGAAATAAAGGGTTCGGTTCGAAATTCCAACGTATAACAACTGAAGAAGGCCGGAGCGTACAAGAGCCGAAACGTCGTGATGATGACAATAAAGATGAGGATAACAGTCCGAACAATGTAAATAGTGTAAATAGTTACAATACCTTATCACAGAAATATAGTATGTGAGTATGGCAATAAAGATGAGGACAACAGTCCGAAAAATGTAAATCGTGTAAATAGGTACAGTACCTCATCTCAGAAATATAGACTGTCCTGAAGAATGCCGGAGCGTACAACAGCCGAAACTCTGTGATTATGGCAATAAAAATGAGGACAATAGATTCGAAAAATGTAAATATTGCATAAAGAGTTCAATTCAGAACGGACGAAACTAAGGCAGCACCGATAAGTTTGCAGATTATTTTTCTAGAAAAAATGCCTTAACATTTCAACATTCGGAGCAGTATTTACTGTCCTCCCACACACTTTTACCATAAAAATGTAGGCACACCCCCAACCCTACCCAACTCCAATATTTGGAAAAAGCGCACCATCCTGTAATTCGTTCGCTTCGTAGCAGAAACACCAGACCAGATGTGACAGACGAGAAAGACCAGACCAGATGTGACAGACCAGAAAAACCAAACCAGACCAGATGTGACAGACCAGAAAAACCAGACCAGATGTGACAGACCAGAAATACCAAACCAGACCAGATGTGACAGACCCGAATACCAAACCAGAGCAGATGTGACAGACCAGAAATACCAGACCAGAAATACCAAACCAAACTAGATATGACAGACCAGAAATACCAAACCAGACCAGGTGTGACAGACCAAACCAGACCAGATGTGACAGACAAGAAATACCAAACCAGACCAGATGTGACAGACCCGAATACCAAACCAGAGCAGATGTGACAGACCAGAAATACCAGACCAGGTGTGACAGACCAGAAATACCAAACCAGACTAGATGTGACAGACCTGAAATACCAAACCAAACCAGATGTGACAAACCAGAAATACCAGACCGGATGTGATAGACCAGAAATACCAAACTAGACTAGATGTGACAGACCAGAAATACCAAACTAGACTAGATGTGACCGACCAGAAATACCAGACCAGATGTGACAGACCAAAAATATCAAACCAGACCAGATGTGGCAAACTAGAAATACCAGACCAGACCAGATGTGACAGTAACATTCAATGAATAAACAAAAAGCGACTTATAAATTTGCTCGGATAAATTCTTATTTACAAGAAAGACCCGGGAAAATTCCACGGTTTTCCTATTTGAATATTCTGATGATTCTTAATTCTTCAGTTAAAGATTGAGTAAGCTCATGGCGAGTTCTACGGCAATAAAATATCTGTAGAAATTGAAACGTTAAATAACTTTAACAAAATATTGCTAATAACTGTCATAATTATGAACAGTGGTCGTTCTTTTAAGAAGAGGGCCAGTCAGTTATGTACCATGCGTGATACACGCTTAGGCGATCATGTATCTTTCGATACATGACTGACGAAGCAGATTTTTTCCCGAAGTAGATTGCAATTTCTTTCTACGGTAGACCACTTGTCCTGCAAGGCTATGGAACCCGATCTGTCCTGCTATTTACCTTTAGCTGAGGGAAAAGGATTTCATGCCTTTCCCAAGGGTATTAGTACAACAGTCAGTCAGTTATATGCCATGCGTGATACATGCTTAGGCGATCATGTATCGTTCGATACATGTCTGATGAGGTAGATTTTTCCCCGCAGTAGGTTGCCATTTCTTTCTCTGGTAGACCAGTTGCCATCCAAGGCTACAGAACCCATAGCTAGCGGGTGGGGAAGAAGAGGATTCATACTTTTCCCAAGGGTATTTATTAGCACGTAAGTGAATATAATGGATTCGAATAGAATTCGAACTCGGCTCTCCGATTACTCAATCCGAGCCGCTCACCATTACTCGACCGTGCCTACGAGAAGTGGATACAAATGAAAAGATTTGAAATTGACTACTTTTTCTTTTTCATTGAAACATCTATCTTCCCTTCTTTCTTTCTTTTTCTCACTGAAACCAAGTAGCGTATGCCTTTTGTTTTTCTACGCGATCAAAAACTAATGGTCCATTATTTATGAGGTATTGGCAAAAGCCTCTTCTATCTCCCCTTCTTTCTTTCTTTTTTCTTCCTTTCATTTTAGTGTCTCCCCCCTCCTCTTTCCGCGCGGTCAAAACGGAATAGTCCATTATCAATTTTTCGCTCCGTAAGACCACACCCAAAAGGGGCCACATTCACAGTGGTCATTTGAAGACTCGAGTTTTGTTGTCATATATGATCTGGTGCTCCCGCTGTACATCTGGAGGTCCTTAACAAATCCCAGAGACGAATATGCAAGATGATAGGTCCTGATCTGGCATCTAGTCTACAATCGCTATCCCACAGACGTACTGTGGACACCCTCTGTCTCTTCTACAAATATTTTCACGGCAACTGTTCCGATGAGTTACTTTCGCTGGTTTCGGGACTACATGAATTTAAACGTGCTACTAGGCTGGCATCTCGGTCCCAACGTGATGTGGCCGTATTCTATTTATATCATCTGGACGTCCAAGCTTATAGCACCTAGTATTCCCAAGCGGTCACCCATCTAAATGATAACCAGGCTCGACGTTGCTTAACTTCGGTTTTCGTACATGTACCGGTGTTCCAATGCGGTGTGATCGTAAGCGCTTTATACCAGCCGGATTTCCAAGCTTACAGCACCAGGTATTCCCAAGCGGTCCCTCATCTGTGTATTAACCAGGCTTATATCACGATCGAGTGGGACCCGATGTTTCAACGTAATGCGGTCGTAATCCTGAATAGTTTGAAAGCTTATTGTTTTAAAAACATTGAATTGCACACACGCAAGAGTTTATGCTTTGAATAATGTATTAAATCCTGAATACAAAGTCCTTGTGGGTCCCCTTCGTAGGCGAATCGATAAATATATGTAATTCTACCTGTCCAGTATATAGGTGCTTGACATTTGGCCACAAAGATCACCAACGATGGAAAAAAAATCAATTTTCCCGAAATGCCATAATCTCAAAATAAATGTTTAATAACACATCCAACAACGTTACATTTGAGGTGTCGCCGTCACCGCTTTGGGACATTTGCAGACCTTGATAGATATTTTGTGGGCCACAACTGGCGTGTAAAGATATTTACTCAGCCAACTTTGAGACGCAGTAGTAAATCAGTGCGAATCGATCTCTGTCTCCTCCAGTTAGTCGATGATTGTTGATTGTTAAACTTTAGCACTCTGTAGGTGACTATATTCACCAAGCAAAATATTAGTATTCCCAAGCGGTCACCAATCTAGGTGATAACCAAGCTCGACGTTGCTTAACTTCGGTGGTCGTATGAGAACCGGCATTTCAACGTGATGTGGCCGTATGCTGTTTATACCATCCGGACGTCCAACCTTATAGTACCTGGTATCCCCAAGCGGAGCAATCCGAATTTGAGTTTCTTGGTTGTGTAGTCATATCCATCTATGGCAACACCTAAAACAATCTTGACTGACATTGAGAGCCAGGCTACTGCAATTTCAAATATATAGCACTAATATATTAAAGACTATATTTTGAGGGTATTTCATATACAGTAAAAGGGGAAGTAATATTTATAAATGATGCAGTTTTAAGTGTTAAGCCTCTCATGACAGAGAAGATTCCAATATTGTTGTAACCTAGGGAAGGTTACTGAATAGAATAATCAAACGAAGGTTGGTAATGAACGATAATACTTAGGACAAGAACAACACATATAAGATTCGCCAGCGGTGCATAGAAGTTGTAGTCAAACTGTGGATTCGAATCTCATTATAATCGATTTGTCAGGAAGGAGACTTCCTGATGTTGTCAGACTGGATCGAGGTCGATCCCAGCATGCAGCACCTTTGGAAAGTACCTGAAAACCATACAAGGGGTTGGCCCAGGGGTTGTGAATGAAATTGAGTAGACGGAACTCTTGGGGGCTGTTGTTAGCTATGCTAGCACGAAGCCACAAGTCATCGTGACCGAGGGCTTCAGCGTGCTGGCCTTGTTCAAATTGTTGATCACGCTAGATAACATGCTCTCTTCCAGAAACTGTAACTAAGGTCTGCTCAGCATAGTTGCAGTATAAACCACAGGTGGGCTCTGTGGGTGTTGAGCAAAAACAAATGTGCCTGAGCGAGCGTCTGCAATTGTAAACATACTTAGATATATAAACACGCAAAAACATGGACGAAACAGGAAAGAGGTGTCCACGACATAAAAAAAAATACAAGGATACAATAGCAGACACATATACATACAATGAAAATCATATACAAGCAATCATACACACGTACATTTATATGTCTTTGTCTTTATAAATGTACGCGTGTATGAGTGCTTGTTTATGTTTTTATTGTATTATATGTGTTATATGTATTATATGTATTATATGTGTCTGATATTATATTTCTGTTTTTTGTCGTGGACACCTATTATTTGCGTGTTTGTATATTATAACTGTGTATGCATCGTCATTTGGAAAATATTTGTAGTGATGTTATAACATGTTTATGTTATAATTTTTTAATAAATATTTATATATATATATATATATATATATATATATATATATATATATATATATATATAGATTGATTGATGAGTTCGTGACCCTGGGTTTCACGCGATTTGTGATCGTCAGATGGAAAATGGCGTGAAAACCCAAGGTTACAAACTCACATCATTTCGTCCTCTCAGGGACTTATGAAGGCAAATGTAAGGATTTTATTTTATGACAAGTAATTAAATACGAGAGCAAAAAAATTGTTTTGTTTTTTTCAAACTTCTTTGATATAGGAATGCTCATGAATATTCATCAAGTTAGCGGAAAATCACGCAAGTTCATAGACGTGACGTGATACAGTTCAACGCTTAAAAACGAAAATGGGTAGAAGATTTTTTTTATATGTACGTTTTCTAAGAAGTACCGCGTATATATAATATATAAATAATATATACAAAAATTGCATATATATATATATATATATATATATATATATATATATATATTTAAAGAAAAAACTGTTGTTCTTTAAATTGAATTATTCGCTCTGACTTAACATTGAGCTCTCAGGATTTCATCCTACTTGGTATTTTCCATACAGATTACCAAGATTTTCGATATATATATATATATATATATATATATATATATATATATATATATATATTTGAAAATATTTTTGAAGGTACAAAATCTAATTACAGAAATAAAAGTGTGTAGCTTAATATTGCAAGACATGTTAAAAGCGAAGCAACCGGTTTCACTCTCGCTCTTCAGGCCTCTACGGGAGATTTAACTTTTTGTACAATTTTGTTAAATATATATCTTAAAAAAAATGTTAATGTTATTTTCATCTTTGCTTAATTTAGACGACAATTTATATATCGCACCATGTATATGTCTATACTGGTATATATATATATATATATATATATATATATATATATATATATATATATATATATATATAAGGCACGTGATGTCAGTAATTAACCAGAGTAATAAAATATGAAAAAATAATAATAACGAAAATTATCAATAAAATAAAATTTAAACCACGTTAAAAATAAATTAAATAAATAAAAGATAGAAATTATAAAATTACACCCAGCATTCAACAGGGACAGATCCTGCCGGAAGTTTAGACATCCCGCCAAAAGACGTGGGATTCAACCTCTTCGCCCAACAACTGTCGGGATGACAACAGCTGTGTAACTTCCATTCGTGATAGGACTTGTGATATTACGGAGTAACTTACTCCCTTTTATAACATGAATATTATCACAATTGAAATGTAAACCACACACACACACGCAAACACCCCCAATACATAAATACATAAATAAAAGTGTATGACATTACCAAACAATTTATCAGGCCTTCTTTGTATTTTATTGATAGATTTTTCTTGTTTTGATATTCATGAAAACAAGCCTACAATTCTACTACCACTACACCTATGGAGTGAGTGAATACAAACCACAAAGCAACAATAATAAGCTGAATTAAAACTAGTAATAAAATAATATTAGAAACTTGGGATAAAAAGCAACAATATTAAGATGAAATAAAACTAGTAATAAATTAATAATAAAATGTTGTGATAAAAAGCAACAATAATAAGATGGATTAAAACTAGTAATAAAATTATAATAGAATGTTGGGATAAAAAAACAAGAATAATAAGATGGATTAAAACTAGTAATAAAATAATAATTGAATGTTGAGATAAAAATCAACAAAAAGATGAAATAAAACTAGTAATAAATTAATAATAAAATGTTGTGATAAAAGCAACAATAAGATGGATTAAAACTAGTAATAAAATTATAATAATAGAATAATTGGAATAAAAAGCTAGTAAAAAATAATAATAGAATGTTTAGAATGGGATAAAAAACAATATTAAGATGAAATAAAACTAGTAATAAATTAATAATAAAATGTTGTGATAAAAAGCAACAATAATAAGATGGATTAAAACTAATAAAATTAAATAGAATGTTGGGATAAAAAAAGAAGAATAATAAATAAAACTAGTAATAAAATAAAATAGAATGTTGGGATAAAAAAGCAACAATATTAAGATGAAATAAAACTAGATGGATAAAAAAGCAACAATAATAAGATGGAAAAAACTAGTAATAAAATTAATAGAATGTTGGGAAAAAAAGCAAGAATAATAAGATGGATTAAAACTAGTAATAAAATAATAATAGAATGTTGAATAAAAAGCAACAATAATAAAATGGAATAAAACTAGTAATAAAATAATAATAAAATGGGATAAAAAAGCAACAATAATAAGATGGAATAAAACTAGTAATAAAATAATAATAAAATGTTGGGATAAAAAGCAACAATAATAAAATGGAATAAAACTAGTAATAAAATAATAATAAAATATTGCGATAAAAAGCAACAATGATAAGATGGAATAAAACTAGTAATAAAATAATAATAAAAAATGTTGGGATAAAAAGCAACAATAATAAAATGGAATAAAACTAGTAATAAAATAATAATAAAATGTTGGGATAAAAAGCAACAATAATAAAATGGAATAAAACTAGTAATAAAATAATAATAAAATGTTGGGATAAAAAGCAACAATAATAAAATGGAATAAAACTAGTAATAAAATAATAATAGAATGTTGGGATAAAAAGCAACAATAATAAGATGGAATAAAACTAGTAATAAAATAATAATAAAATGTTGATAAAAAGCAACAATAATAACATGGAATAAAACTAGTAATAAAAATAATAAAATGTTGGGATAAAATGGAATAAAACTAGTAATAAAATAATAATAAAATGTTGGGATAAAAAGCAACAATAATAGGAAATAAAACTAGTAATAATAAAATGTTGGGAAAAAAGCAACAATGATAAGAAATAAAACTAGTAATAAAATAATAATAAAATGTTGGGATAAAAAGCAACAATAATAAGATGGAATAAAACTAGTAATAAAATAATAATAAAATGAATGTAAAATGGAATAAAAAGTAATAAAATAATAATAAAATGTTGGGATAATAGGATGGAATAAAACTAGTAATAAAATAATAATAAATAAAAATAAGATGTTATAAAAAGTAAAAAATAATTATAAAAAAAGAAGATAGAAGAATAAAACTAGTAATAAAATAATAATAGAATGTTGGGATAAAAAGCAACAATAATAAGATGGAATAAAACTAAATAAAATAATAATAGAATGTTGGATAAAAAGCAACAATAATAAGAATAAAACTAGTAATAAAATAATTATAGAATGTTGGGATAAAAAGCAACAATAATAAGATGGAATAAAACTAGTAATAAAATAATAATAAAATGTTGGGATAAAAAAGCAACAATAATAAAATGGAATAAAACTAGTAATAAAATAAAAATGTTGGGATAAAAAGCAAACAATAATAAGTTGGGATAAAACTAGTAATAAAATAATAATAGAATGGAAAAAAACAATAATAAGATGGTATAAAACTAAAATAAAAATAATAATAGAATGTTGGGATAAAAAGCAAATAATAATAAGATGGAATAAAACTAGTAATAAAATAATAATAGAATGTTGGGATAAAAAGTAACAATAATAAGATGGAATAAAACTAGTAATAAAATAATAATAGAATGTTGGGATAAAAAGTAACAATAATAAGATGGAATAAAACTAGTAATAAAATAATAATAGAATGTTGGGATAAAAAGCAACAGTAATAAGATGGAATAAAACTAATAATAAAATAATAATAGAATGATGGGATAAAAAAAAAGCAACAATAATAAGATGGAATAAAACTAGTAATAAATTGATTGAATGTTTCATATATTTCCATCC